GGTGGCACACACCTGCAGCCCCAGCATTTGGGAGGACGAAAACAGGAGAATCACTAGGAGTCTGATCCACATCGTGAGACCCTATAGGTCCTATACGAAATACATTTTAAAAAAAGACACGTATGTGCTGAAAAAAGGAAAATTTCTTTTAACATGAAGGTGCAAGAGGTTAAAAATTTTAAAAAGGGAAAACATGAAGAATATACTAACCAAAAGAGAAAAAAATGGCTATCTCAATATCGCCTAAGTAAATTTCAAGTTAAATAATGTTAGTAGAGATCAAAGGGTTATTTCTCAATGATAAAGGGATCATTTTATCCTAAATTTTATGCATGTAATAAAAGAGCTTCAAAATATATGAAACAAGGCTAATATAAATAAAAAGAGAAACAAACTCATGATAGAAAAAATTACAATATTCCCTGTCAATAACTCACAGAATAAATAGGTACATAGGGAAAACTGTAAGGTTATAAAAGATTTGAATAACCCTACCAACTTGACCTCACTGATATTTATAGAATACTCTAACCAACAACAAAATACCTACTCTTTTCCCAGTGTAAAGAAAACATCTTCTGGCCTCTGAAGACAGCGCACTGGAATAAGCGCTTGCCTGGCAAGTGCAGGGTCCTGAGTTCAATCCTCAGTACCGCAAAAAGATTAAAGAAAATATCTTCTTTTTTAATTATTATTATTTGTGTGTGTGTGTGTGTGTGTGTGTGTGTGGCCAGCTCAGCCCACCAGGGGGCGGGGCTGGCTGGCATGTGGTGCTGGGGGATTGAACCGCAGTCCCTGTGCTTTGCTAAGCTTGTTCTAAGTAGGTGCTTTAGACCACTGAGCCATCTCACCAGCCCCAAGAAAATATCTTCCAAACAAAACACTTTAGGCCATAAAATATGTACTGAAACAATTTTTAAAATTTATGTCAAGCAAAGTATTCTCTGGCTATATATAATTGAATTAGAAATAATAAATGGACACATCTTTGGAAAGTGCCCCAAATATTTGAAGAATAAGTATACTTCTAAACAATTCTTTTATTTTCTTCTTTTTTTTTTTTTTTGGTGGAACCAAGGATTGAACTCAGGCCCTTGCACTTGCTAGGTAAATGTTTATTCTACAAGCCATCTCCCTGGCCCCCCTCTAAACAATTCTTGAATAGAAAACAAAAAAAGAAAATATTCTGCACTGAGTAGAAAGTAATATACAATATCAAAAATTATGAAATGAGGCAAAGCAATATTTAGGGAAAATTTTTGGATTAGAAAATACCTGAAGAGGAAACAACAAAGGTCTCAAATCTGTGACCTGAGTTTCCACCTTAAAAAAATAAAATAAAATAAATGAAAAGCAAGTTGAATAAAGGAAAAATAAAGATCAGGGTAACAAACTATAATATAGCAGAAAAAGTAATTGAGAATATCAATCCTACAAAAAGCTACTTTTTGGAGATCCATTGAAATTGGATCTTAGAAGAATCAAATAACAAAGAAAATCCCAGTTACCAATATGAAGAATGAAATAATTTACCACCACAGATTCTACATATATTAAAAAGATAATTGAGCAATTTGTGAACAACTTTGTTGAAATAGCCAAATTCTTTGTAAGTCACAAACTAGCAAAGCTTATTCAGGACGGCCAGGATAACTTGATAGCCCCTTGTCAATTTCAGAACTTCCACAAAGAAATTACGAGGTCCAGATGGATTCACTGGTAAACACTACAAAACATTTACGGCAATAATTACACCAATTTGATATGAACTCGTCCAAAAACCAGAAAAGGAAAATAATACTTCCCGACTTACTACATAAAGCCAAGATCGCTCCGATACCCAAACCGGACCCAGAGAATACAAGACGAGTATCTCTTTAAGCATAGACACTTCCTGGGGCAGGAAGTACACAAGGTGAGCCTGCTGCGTTCTGGCCTGATCTCAGGACAGCAAACAGGCTCAGAATCTCTGGGCTGCTGCACAATACCAGTGCTACCCGATGCCCCTGCTGGCCAAAAACAGAAAGAAATGTAAGCATCACTCAGAATAACGACAGCAGTAAATTAAAATACATCAAGCATGTTCAATCTATAACTTCATGATAGTGCTCAAAACAACCTTATTCATCACCTCTGGAGAATACAAGGGAGCCAACATTTTGGAAACTGGTAAACAAAGGGGAAAAAATCATTCATCCCGCCTTTCTTACCTCCACTCTACCTCATAACAAAACTTTTAATGAAGAGATATTTTTTCTTTATAAAAGCTGATTTTAAAAAATAGGGATAGCCTCATATGTCACCTTTTTGCAACTCTTCGTGGAATAAGGGATCTCAACTATTAGCAAAAGGCTGCTAACATCAGTAAAGCAGCCAGCGAGATAGTTCAGCGGTCAAGGCGCCTGCCAGGCAAGCTCAAGGACCAGGACTCGATCCCTAGCACCACATGCCGTGCCGGCCCCTGAAACCAGGTGTAGTGGCGCATGCCTATAATCCCAGCACTGGGGAGGCTGAGACAGGAGGATCCCTACGAGTTCAAGCTGTGTAGTGAGACCCTGCACCAAACACCACCAGCAAAACAGATAACCAGATCGTATGAGCCTCCTGACGGAAGTACTCTTTACCACTCAGGGACTGTTCTTGGCCAACCCGGGACCTGAGTAAATCTAGACCTAGTTACCAGCCCACCGGAGCAACACCACAGGAGCGCACTCCAAGAATCCAGGTGCGGGGAACCCCAAGCGCGCAAACAACCCAGTTTACTCAACAAACGCCACACAAGGAAAACAGAGGGAATTAAGGAGAAATTAGGAGATTTAGGAGAGCTAAGGGGCTTGTAGGCCTGGTGCAATGCAGGGGTCCTTTTTGGGTCCTGATTTAAACGAGAGGAGAGAAAGTGACTGCAGACCAAATACTTGATGGTAGTAAGTGAGATTCGACCGCGATTACCAGCGCGGCATGGTTTGTTGACGTCCTTCCCATTTAGAAACACGTAACTAAACATTTATAGATGGAATAATATATTGTCCCGGATTTGCTTCAAAATAATCTGGATTTAGAGAAAAAAGTGGCAGGTCAGCGTGAGTGAAACGGAATGGGCCGTGTGGTCTCCGTTGATGCTGGATACATGGAGATTCATTTTACCCTCCTCTCCGTTTTTACACGATGTGAAATTGTTCAGATGCAAAAGCTGTGGGTTTTTTCACACGCCCGTAGAAAGCCAGAAAACCGAATTCCTATCGTTGCCTTTCTAATCTGCACCGCTGGGTCTGGACCCTGGAAGCCAGGTCTCATAGGAATAATAGGAGTAGTAGTAACGTCAGCAGTAACGCCCAACATTTGGGGAACACACACTATTTGCTAAACTCACTGAGTTTTAAATGAGTTCCTTTCACTTAATCCTGACAGAACCCTAGGTAGTGAATGCTAACGTGATCCACGTTCACAGGTGAGGAACCTGAGGGAGGGAGTTGGGGTGACAAAGCTAAGTCCCACACCCATATCTGCCCGCAGGTGAGGAACCTGAGGGAGGGAGTTGGGGTGACAAAGCTAAGTCCCACACCCATATCTGCCCGCAGATTTCAACCTGCAGCCAGTGTCCAAGGGTAAGAGATGAAGCCTGCCCGTGTACGCATCTCGCTGCCTTTGAGGTGAATACCTTGAGTTCCTTCACTCCCTGCCTAACAGCTTCCGTGGTCCACACCGCCCTTGTCCTCCCCTGCGACACCGCGTGCTGGCTGCAGAGCGCGGCCGCCCTCCCGCCCCGGAACCCCGCACGTGCGCGCGCCAGGGCCGGACGCTCACCCGGGCCCCGGTGTCTCTTCTCCATCCAGATGTAGCAGTTGTTCTGGGCCACCCCCGTCTGCGAGTCCAGGAAGGGGAGCCGCACGCTGCGCTCTGCGCACAGCCGTGAGTTGTAACTCCGGCAATGTTCGATGGCTTCCTTGTAAAACTGGTCCCCGAGCCTGCAAGGAGTCACAGAGAGAGAGGTGTGAGGCCAGGCAAAACCAAATCCCACCCCGAATTATACTGGTGTCCCCTACTCTTCTCCCTGGGAAGAATTTGAAGTTTTGGCAACAAAGCAATGAGCCTTATCCAGCGTCAGAATGCAGCTAAGCACCAGGTCTGTACCAGGTGCCTCCCATCCCAAACCCACCAGGCAACCTCGAAACCCCTTGAAGCCAGAGCAAAGGGCCCCAGAACTAACCAGCGGTACACGTGGCCAGTTCCTGTGCTGGGACGCGAGAGCTCCAGTTCCACACTGGCAGTAGCTCTGGAACTAATCCGCATTGAGTCTAGGGGCCACCACACATCTGGAGCCTCGTGAGCCACATTGTTCTCAGTGGTCACCAGCAAAGGGGCTCCGAGTGAACCTTCTGAACTCCGGGTGAAGCCACCAGAAAGCGACCCAAAGTCCCATAGGAATGGAGGAAACACACTCCGTACACCCAAGAGTAGAAGGGTAACAGGACATATCCTATGAAGGCAAAGCTCTTTCTTCAGAGAGGAAGTGAAGAGGGATAAACCACATTGTTAGAGAAACTTTCTCCAGTGGAAAGCAAGCAAAGAAATCACTTAAAATAACACTGGAACTCAAAATAATTCAACTTCCAGAGTTAAAGACCTTTCTGGTTTGTGGGAGTGATGATCTGATGAAGCACAGTAAATTTATGTCCCTGAATCTCTGGTATCCTTGGACACATAGTGATGCTACTGACTTAAAGAGCGTGTCTTTTCAGAAACCAAAAATAGTACACAGCTATAATTGATCGAGGATGAAACAAACATCATCAGCTCAATGAATACCTAAGAAACAAAACATAGACACATGGTGGAAGTGAAAAAGGCCCAAGGACGTACAAATGAAATCACATAACCTCTGCCAGGTAAACTTGACCCCGAGTATAGGTGCAGGCGAGAAGGAGAGGCAGCACAGGGCCACAGGGGCGAAAAAGAAAATCAAGGTGCTCCTTTTGAAGTGATAATATAAATGTCCCTTTGTTTCGTTTGGTTCTGTGTAGATTTGAAGAAGCCAAAATCTGGGAGGGAAAGCCTCTAGACAAAAATAATATATTTCTTAACCAAAATATTTAGAGAAATCAAGAAAGGAACATTGAAAGAATGTTTTCAATTTTTTAAATGGTGGTACAGCACACATAACAAAATCTACCATTTTAAATAGAGAGTCCAGTGGTAACAAATAGTTCACGTTGTTATGCAAGCATCCTCGCCATCCACATCCACAACTCTCCATTTTGCAAAAACGGAAGCTCTATACCCATAACCAGTACCTCCTCGCCCCCTTTCTCCCAGGCCTGGCAACCACCATTCTACTTTGTGTCTCTGTGACTTTGATTATTCTAAGCAGCTCGTAGAAGTGGGATGATGCAGTATTTTTCCTTGGAGACTAAAGTGTTTCTCCTCGTATATTTTCAAGTTTCATCCACACTGTAGCAGGTATCAGAATTTCCTTCCGTTTGAAACTGAATAACATGCTACCACATACATGTGCTACATTTTACTTATTAATCACTCATTAACCCTGAGAAGCAAGGTTGTCCCGTGCTTCCGCTGTAGACTGCAATACGACAGTGAATGTAAGCATGCACGCGTCTCTTCCAGCCCCTGCTTCCAATTCTTTTGGGTCCATGTCCAGGAGTGGAATTGCCCGATCCTGTGGGAGATTTATTTCTGTCTTTGAGCAACTACTATGCTGTGTTTCCCGGTGGCCACACCATTTTTCATTCCCACCAGCAAAACACAGGGCTTGCAATTCCTGCACACACCTGCTGCCATTTGTTGGAAAACAAAGTTTTTAACAGACTTTTATATTCTCTATTAAAAGTGTCAGTGGATCCAATCCTACCAAAGAGTTTGGAACAAATATCTCATGATAAGATGATACAACTGTAGAACTTTCTAGGCATCAGTTAGAAAATAAGCATGTAGGGGAAAAATAACTTCCCTACCTTTCCCCCCCCCCCCCGGCCAGGTTTTTTTTTTTCCTTTAATCTCTGAAGAGCCTCGTCCTCACATGGAAGGCATAGCATACACAGAGTCCTGGCAGTTACAAAACCAAACTATCATCAAGTTATAATGGTTACACAGCTGGAAATAAATTGGGGAGGGGAGATGAAAGCCCATTAAAATGCCATAAAATGAAATGACACATAAGCTGATGTAAGCAAAGTTGCTAACAAGGATCATGGGATTAAACAAAATGAAGAATTCTTCTCAGCAAAGTGTGAGTCTGCGTTACAACAGCTTAAATGCATCCTGGGGCAACATAGCTCAGTGGATCAGAACTGTTACAGGCAGCAGAGCCTGGGCAGGATGACACGGACTTCCAGGGTCTCTCTGTAACATAGCAACAGCCACACCCACCACACCCGCCACACCAGCCACGCCAGCCACGCCAGCCACGCCAGCCACTCCACATTGATGAAAACTAACAACTGACAGGCAGATCTTGGAGGGGGATAGGGGCGGCCAGGACTTGAACCAGCACCTTGTGTGTGTATTCAGCAAGTGCTCTACCACACTAAGCCACACCCCAGCCCTCTTCAATAACAGCTACGCTGCCCAGATTGGCCTCAAATGTGTGATCCTCCTTCCTTAGCTTCCCAAGTGGCAGGGACCATAGGTGTGAGTCACTGTCCCTGGCTCCCTGATCCTTTCACCAAAAACAATGTCAGTTATTCTAACACAAGGAATTCTGCTTTTAAGAAAAAGAATCCATAGAATTAGATTCTCCCCCTTAAAATAATTTTAAAAGAAGACAAAAGAGAGAAAAACAAATAGAAAGCTGTCCCCTAAGACTCGTCCACTAGAGAAAAAAGGACGTCCATTTCCCCATGAATGTCTAGAAGCTAACACAAAAGAAAGCTACAGTAGAATGTCAAGCCAGACCTTTCCTGCTGTGCTCGTAACCCGCTTCCAGTGGCTCTAGAACAACAATGTGCGCTCGCTGAGAGCAAAGGCAGGGTGGGTCAGCATCTGCGCCGCTCCAGACGGCGCAGCAAAGCCAGAGAGTGGCGCCAGGTGAAGGTTAACGTCGTCTTAAACCCCCTCGCTTTCCTAACGGGCAGTGGCACTAGTCACAGGTGTGCTGGGAGAAACGTGTGTTTTGAAAATGTAATCCTTGTGTGAATGACACCTTTGGTATGCAGAAAGGGCTTTCGCAGACAGGAGCAGCCGTCTTAAAAGACAAGCTGCACGGAAGTGACATCAAGCTCCAGGTGTTGGCAGAGGTTTAGAAATCAAAGGTAAAGGCCTTCTTCAAGATCCAGGAAGAGAAGAAAAGACTTCAGCCACCTTGATAAATTCAAGCAGCACTTCTCCAAAAGTTAATTAACCAAAATCTTCACAGGGCTTGCTGCACTCCCTAGAAGAAAATCAATGCCCAGGTCTCCTGAACCCAAGAAAGCAATTTAAACAGGAGAAAGGACAAATGTCCTTCCCACTATGGCATTTCTTTTCTGAAAGCCCCACAAGAATAGGATCCCAGGGTGACATTTGCATTAAAGTCGCAAGGGGCAAAGGAGTCATTTCTGCAAACCGGTGACCAGCGTGCCCCAGGCTGGGTCTGCATGGCCCAGCCTCAGCTGTCACCTGTCTACGCCACCCCCAGAGGGCTGGATCACCAAGGGATGATCGATGTCTCAGGCTTGAGGAAGCTGGCACAGGCAGGGTACAATGATGTCCTCATCAACAGCTGACTCCGGGCTACTCAAGGCCACAACCAGAAACGGAAACAGCAAGAGGAACAAATTGCTGGGCTCAGCACGGCCTGTGGTGGGAGCAGCCCCGGCTGCCTGGTTGCATAGGCTTTGCGGGGAGTCGGGTCCCTCATAGTCCTTCTAGCATGAGGGAGTCAACCCAGCTCTGACAGCTCCATGATCCTCCCAGAGTCCTCCAGCAACCTTCCTCAGTGCATCTAGGAGGAGAGGGATTCCAGACCAAAGACAACACAAAGAAGAACAAAACGACCTCCAATGAGGCTGCCACTCTGGGCTTTACAGCCTGTCATGCTCCTTCCAGGACCCTCTGCTCCTCTTCATCCACCCTCCAGCTCTCAAACCAACCCCTACTCATGCAGCTCCCATGTCCACACCCTGGAGGACACCTAGATCCAACTCTCTGACCATACACCTGGGCTCCTTCCTGAGCCTGGTCCTGTATTCAGATCCAGGGCCAGCTTCTGACCATACTTCACATACTTGTCCAAAAGCAAGCTCGTCATCTTCCACCAGAGGCCCAACCCCCTGACCCTGTGCTCTTCTTGGACTGGGGCAGGGCACCTAGTGAGATGGCTGCTCCCCAACCTGCCCAGCAAGTCAGCCATAACTGCTCCTTTGCCTCCACCCCATCTGAGACTGAGTTTTCCTATCTCTCAGGAAGTTGTCCTTCTCTCTCCAGTCCCACCACATGGCTTCAAGTCCCCTTTTGCTGTAAAAGCGGGATTTTGGCTGGCTGTTTGCACATGAACAGAGACAGGCAAAGAGCAGCCCTGGCTACCACGGGACCTCTGCTCCCGCCTCTCCCGCAGTACCCCTTCCCTGTGGCCACCTGGTTTTCCTGCTGCCTCACCAGGCTGCCCGCTCTTCCACAGCCGCCCACAGGCACACATTAAAGCTCCTCTGCACCACGTGCTAACTTCCTGCTATTTGCATCTAAACATGTTTAAGTCTAAGGGCAGCACAGGAAGCTGAATCTCCCGTGTCGTATTTTTTGTAATAACTGGCAAGCCGGAGCCAACGGCTGGCAAGATGTAGGCATCTGATTTTCATTACAGCTGGGCTGTTCCTAAGTGGATCTTGACAGCAAATCAAGTTCAGCGTTGGCTGTAGGATGGGCTGTGTTGGTCCACAAACGAGACATCACGCCTCCGAGCCCTGACCTGGGCTCATGGCATTTGGAGGTGGAGCCTGTGGAGGAAACTGAGTCATAATAGGATGAGGTTCAC